AAATTGATTATTTACTTTTTTTTTCTCTTGATTTAAAATTCTACCTCTTTCAGAGACATTATTAGGTAAACAGCCATCTGATTTAATTTTTTTTTGGATTTCTTGTTCTTGATGTGCAATCTGCAAAGGCAAGACACTTAGTTGATTGTCTCGATTTTTTAACTCAAGATTGTTAGCAAAGGAAGAAACATTTACATGTTGTTCTAAGTGCATTGGACTAATCAAATATGTATTAGTTTGGTTGGCACCACATTTTTGCCTACCTTTTTCTTCTCTCATCTTTACAATTTGATTACTATTTTTATTTAGAGTAGAATTTGCCTGAACATTACTTTCCGTTAAACTTTGTATATGGTGATTCAACAATAACTCATGATCAGTATCTTCACATTCATTTTGTGATTCATTAGAGTCAATAAAAATAAATGAATTTTCTTTTTTAATTATTTTACAAGCATTGTCACTATTTTCTGGATGAACTACAGTAAATGTAGCTGAGCTGTCAAAAGAAGTTTGGCTTGCAATTTTTGGCATATCTAAATCATAAACAGGACCAGAAATATCTGTTGGAAAAGAAAAAGATCTGGTGTAAAAAGGTCTAAATAGATAAGAAGAATTTTCTTTCACAAACTTTGGTAGATTGTTCTCTGACATATAAACTCGATGAATATCTTTATCTTGATCGGGTGAAATTGAGTAAGTTCTTCCACTAACATCAGATGAAACTGAAAATGTACTTCCCCCAGAGCTACTATGAGATTTCTCAGAAATCTCTTGTTCATTATCTCCAATCCATTCATCACTAGAGCAACTATGGGATGAAAGTACACTAGATGAATAAGGAGAACTCTGCTTACTGAGTTCCTTTTCCATTAAAATGTTACTCTGAAACAGTTGCAGGCTATTAAGTTTTGTTAAAGATGTTGACATAATTCTATTTAAATTACTTAGATTTGAAATAGTTGGTTGACTGAAATGATGTAAGCCTTCTGAGATACTGGATGACCTAAAAACCATTTCAGAATGAATTTTCATATGTTCATCGCACAGTAAATTAGGATCACTTGAAGATCTATTCATACCTTCGAATGATTCCCCATCAACTATAAGATCTTTGACATAGCTTTGATCTGTTTTAAGTGCTTTCGTTAAGTTTAAGGAATTCGGGTAAATACCACTTAATGTGTAAGTGTTTGGCCTAGCAACACTTAAAGCAATGGAATCCAAGTTTATATTTTTATCTCTGAACTTTATTGAAGATTTTTTATCATCATTATTACATGTATCAATTTCATAATTTGAAATCACACAATGTTTGTGCCTGTCATCATCACTATTATTATTTTTAGAATTTTCTCTATCAGATTTCACATCAAACTTAATACTATCATTCGTTAAGTTACTTTCTGAGAATTCCTGGTCCATTTTAAAATCACAAACATCACAACTAGAATTTTCTTTATTTGATTGATGATGGTCTTGATGGAGGTCTTGATTAAGAAAACAAAGATTTTGCTGTTTTTCTTTCCCCTCTGCATTTATATTTCTTTCACTATTTAAGTAAAAACTTTCATAATCTGAAAAAAAAAATTTTCCTGCTTTGAAATTTTCCTTATATTTTGATATGGATGTATCTTGTTTTTCATTGTTTGCTAATTCTTTATACCTTGAAGGGTGAGTAATGGAGGTTTGAACAGGATCGAAAATTGGTTCTTTTGGTAATTCTCTAATACTTACATCATCTTTAGATAGTTTATGTATAACTTGCTTCTGATTGTCAACAGCAATACATTGTAATTCATCTAAAGCTTTCTTTATTAAAGAAACACTAGAGATTTTAAGATCATAATTGCTACACACAAAATTCAAACCTTGTGTAGCTGGTTCTTTAAAATCTTTGTTATTTTCTGTGTGTGTGAATGGGCTTTGCTTCTTATTGTTAATTGAACTTATTTGTGTATCACTGAATACACAACTTTTTTTTGAAGTAACATTATCATAAGTTTCTTGATCAATTTTAAAGTTAGTGTTAACTGAATTTAGTTGAAATCGTTTATGAGTCAAAACTTCTGATTCTTTTAAATCTTCATTATTTTTAAATAGAATATATGTATCTCGATTTTTATTATTAGCAACATTGCAATTTATATCCTTGACTTCTTTTTTATTCCTTAAAGCAACAAGATCAGAGGTTTTCTGATCAACATTCAAGTTAGTGCTAACTTGATTAAAACTTTTATTAACTGATTCTTTTTGTATTTCTTTCAAACCTTCATTTTCATTTAATAAAGTGTAAGTAGCTCGGTTTTTATTGTTAGCTAAATTGGGTTGTATATTACTGACAACAATTCTGCTCCTTAAAGGAACAAAATCAGAAGTTTTCTGATTGCTATGTAAATTAGTACTAACTTTATTAAAGTTATTATCAACTAACTGTGTGTGTGTTTCTTTTAAGTCTTTAATATCTTTTGATAGAATGTATGTACCTCGTTTCTTGTTAGCTAAATTACACTGAATATCATTGACTCCATCTCTATTTTTTAAAGGAGTGTTAAACGGTTTAAAAGTATCTGCACTTGGTTCTGCTACTGGTATATTCAAAGTTTGCTTTAAAAATTGAGAATTATCTTGTTTAATATGTTCTGTAACAACTTTGCGTGTCAATATTTGATCAACAGTCAAATCTAACTTTTTAAACGATTCTAATATTTCAGACACTTTGTTGTTAATCAACACTTCCAACTGCAAAGATTTCTCATAACTAGATTCATTTATTCTTTCATCTAAGCTTTTATTCTTCCTATCAAAATCTTTAAAGACATCATCAGCAACTAGACACAAATCATCAAGAGCATCAATAATTGGTATTCTATGGAGCTGCGCATCATTGACTGTTTTGATTTCAGAATCTTGAAGTACAAATGTGGTGGGTCTACTGCGCTTTTTAACATACGATGGTCGCAGTGGTACTGGAGATTGTGGCACAAAGGAATAAGTATCTGGATAGTCTTGCAGAGGACTTGCTAAAGAATTGGCTAAATTTAACTCTGAGTTTGTCTCTGATAGTACGGCTAAATCGGCTAAATTTTCATTAATTTTGTTTTTAATTTGAAGACTTTCTAAACATTTCTCTTTACTTAACTCACTGCTATTGTCTGCTGCATCAGAAAGCTTTGATAAAGCATCAACTATGGAAATGCCAGTACAAAGAGCAGAATCTAAAATGTCTGCAACATCGCCAAGCGTGAACATAGCCCCGATATTTATCGGTAAAAAGTCCAGACAATTTTACTTGAAATTAAAAGTACACACACAAAACAAGCACACACACACAAAAAAAAAAAAAATCAGGAATTTATTTGTTAATAAAAAATCTTTTTAGTAATTATGTTTTGTTAAAAACAAGTTTATAATCCTGATATATTGTGAAATCCGCATATTGACTCGGTAACTATTGGCAACAATTGTCTTATGGACGCCGATACCGATTTTACAATATAGCGAATTACTTGTTTTGAAATAGTAATGATCTTTAACTAACCTAAAACATGCGATCTTGAAAGAAACAAATCAAGCATCCCTTGTTTAATAATATTAACAGGTAACTTTATAAGCTTGCATTTTTAATTGCTTTGTTTTTCTTTCCAATGATCTTTAATCCTTTCTATTACTTCTGTTTACAAATTACATTCATAAATATTTGTAAATAAAATTTTAAAATAAAAAGTTTTTATATAAAGCTATATTTGCCTGCAAGAAAATTTTTGAACTGAGCTATTTGCATGCAAACTTCTTGCTACACACACAAAAAAAACTCAAGCTGGTTTAACGCATCTCCCACTGCAACGCATCGTCGATTTCTCTTCTGACTTCTAATTAAATAAAATTCGAATATTAGGACGGCAATTGTATTTTTCTATCTTTTTTTTTTTTTTAAAAAGAAAAAATTAGGACGCAATTCTTTAAATGTCTTCAGATTTAGTGTCTAGTGCGGCTCCGTAGACAAAGTTTTTATTTTATTTCCAGGTTTATTTTAATTGTAGCGGTTTTCTAATAGCGTCTTAAGCAATTTAGCAAATCACACTCAGTATGTTTTATTTTCTAAAATATGTTCGTACGTGAGAATTTTTTCGGTTTGTCTGCAAGCTCTAATTTCAAATTTAAGCTAGCTGTTTTTTTTTTTTTTTTTTTAAAGAAAAAATCTATATCAGTATTATTTGCAACGGAAAAATTTAATCAATTATTAAACAATCTTCTTTTGTTTAGCATAAATGGCATGAAGTTTTCAAAACATAAAAAAGAAAAAAAAATTCGACGTTATAACTTGTACAAACAATAACTGATTAACAAGTGACGTCACTAGTATAACTCCACTTAGTTGTTTTTTTTTAAATAACTTCGAGTCAAAGTTTGTTTAAAACAATTTTAAAACAAACGCACGATCGAACTAAAAAAAACGTTATTTTTTAATAAAACTCAATTTTAAAATTTTAAGATTTATTATTTATTTATTTTAATTTTAATATATAAAAATTTCTTTATATATAAAAACTAGATATTTTTTTAAATATAAAAATTTGATATTTCTTTTATTAAAAAAACTCGAAATTTAAATTAATATTTTTTTATAATATATAATATGTAATAACTCCATATTTTTTTAGATTTTAAGAAACGCATTTGTAATTTTATAATTCTTTTATAACGCATTATCTGTAAAAACGAAGAAACTCAAGTTTATCATATATATATATATATATATATATATATATATATATATATATATATATATATATATATATATATATATATATATATATATATATATATATATATATATATATATATATATATATATATAAAAGCCTGCAATCAATTGTATTACGCTTTACGGAAATGAAGTTAAATTTAACGGAAGTAAAAGCGCGTAACCTCCTGTAGATATATTAAATTAGTAGATAAAATATAAAAATTACCATCGTTAAGGGGTTCTACATAATTAGCGAGATCTATCCATCTCTTGGTAGAAAACTTCGCTCTTTTTTTGGATCTCTGCAGCTGCAAAAAAATGCAATAAAAAAGCTGCAATTACAAAAAAACGAAAAAAACTTACATATATATATATATATATATATATATATATATATATATATATATATATATATATATATATAAAATTTAAATACCAACTAAAATAAAATAAAAAATCTGTTGACAAATTAAATTTAGTATCAATATAATTTTTTAAACATAATAAAAAAAAGAAGAAAAGAGAGCGTCCTTTAACTCAATTACTTATAAAATCGTGATCAAAAAATCGGAGTATACTAAAAATTTGTTATGACGAAAATGTTATAAATTATCTCTAAAAAAATTATAACTAAAAGAATGATACGTTAAGATAATTTCTTTTAAGAACATTGATAAAGATAAAATATAAATAAGACTATTAAAAAAATATATATAAAAGTAAATGAGAAAAAAAAAAATAATAAAACTGAAATTAAAACAAAGAAAAAACAAAGAAAAAAAAAAAACAGTCAATCAGAAAAATTAAAAAAAAATATTTTAAAGTTTGAGATCCTTAATTACTTAAAATAATTAATAAAATTGTAATCTTTGCTTATTTTTAATGTCTATTATATAACATAATGTCTATTATATAACATAATGTCTATTATATAACATAATGTCTATATATAACATTGAGATATAAAAAACTCGAACGTATTAAACTATTTTTTTGAATAGTTCAAATAATATTTCTAAAGATTATCAAATCCTCGTTATCGACTTATATTACATATTATTTAAAGTTATAAAATAAATTATAACTATAACTTGAGAAAATAACCGAATGTTTTTATGTCACAGGTGTTGCACGCTATGTAAGCGAGGATAGCGTCACGAGTTAGGCAAAAAATAATCAATTTTCGTCCAAATGCTGACTTTAAAATACTCTTGGTGTAATTAAGGTAATTTTAAAATATTATCGGGTCCGTATAATACTATCGTGACCTGTTGATACAAAGAAATTTTCTAATCAATGTTTTGGTCTCTGAATTTATAAAGAAAATAAATTAAAATATTAGAAATTTCTGAAGAAAATATTTCGGAATGAGAAATAACTATTTTGATACAAAATTTATTTTTAGTTAATTTAAAATATGTTAAGTTTATACAAAATCAGTTTAATACAACAATGGGCAAATTTCGTATTTGCGCAAATATGTAAAAAAAAAAAAATATTTAGGTGAAATAAACATTATTTCGCATTTAAGTTTTTATTTAATTATAAGCTCTTTCTTAATGGGAATCGACATATTTTGTATAAAGTGTGGCGGAAGTATGACAAATGTATTTAGTTAATACCATAATAGATCAGAATTAGAATCTAAATTAAATTAAGTTACTTTTTCAAAAAATTTTAAAATAAATTCTAGTAAATGGTACCGAGTGAAGACTCAAAAATGGTCTTCTTTAAATCTTGTAACAGCGGTGTAGTAGTTTAATGTAGTAGTATAGAAATGTTGTGGTAAAAAAATAGATTTTTTAAGAAGAACGAAGAGTTTCTCTAAACAAAGGTAACGCGAAAAATCATTTAGTTCTAAAGATCTTTAAAAGTTTAAACATAGCTGATAATAAAATTATACGAATTCAAAATTTAAGCATTTGACTTAAGAACCACCTTTACTATACACCGAACTAGTAATTTTTTATGAACGCTTTCATTTTGTCTGATCTTTTATGAACGCTTTCATTGTCTTTTCCACATAAGATTTGATGACTTCTTGCTTAATTGATTGAAATTTGTTTAACTTTTCAAAGATTGTCTATTCTAATTTTTACTTCGCGCTGATGATTTATTTACATCAAGTTAGTTTTTAATGCATTTATATTATTAATTTTATCACACTTAAGTGCAAAACGGAAAATTTTTGTTAAGTGCAGCAAATTATTAAACTCTTTATGCATAGGAAAATCAAAAGTTTATTTTTTGCACCTCAAATACGATTTATTTTTTGCTTTTCAAATACGATTTATAAAACTTTGCGTGCTTAGCAACAAATTTTTTTGAATTTTGTTACATTTTAAAGCGACGTAACTTTAAATGCGTTACGTCACAAGCTATTATCAAATGAATTTCATGTAACATAGTCATAATATAAGTCTTATATTATAACTATGGTGAAAGTGATAGAGTTACGCGGAATTATTTTCTTGAGGATAATCTAACAATGTAAGTCGTTAAATCTTCTTTTATAGAGTGAATATATTTGTCAAATAAAATTTTATTTGATTGCATTACATTTTTATTACGTCGTCGATTATGTTTACATTATAAACTTTACTGAAAAAGAAATCTTGAAACTATATTATTTTACTGAATTTAATTGTATTTTTAGTGAATTTAATTTTACTGAAAGTAGGGTTTGTAAATTTGCTGACTTTTTCATTTACCGGTAAGTTTTTTTTAATATAATTAAAATAATACAATATAATTAATATAATAAAATCTAATTAAAATAATACATTTTTATTAAAAGGGGATAGTGGGGAGAAATGAGACGCGGAACAAATGGAACAGCTCAAAAATTTCAATTATGTGAGTTCCCTAATCACTGTTACCTAATGCAAACGATGAGATTTCTTCCTCTCAGCAGATATATCTTTGTCTTAAATAGAAACTTAAAAAAGCGTTTTTTGAGGGGTCAAGATGGACAAAATAAATTTATTGATGTCCCATTTATCATCTTTGTGTAATTATCACTTCTCCCTTATCACCTTTGTGTAATTATATTGTGGAAACCTCAAAAATTTTGATAGATAACATGGTCTACGATTTTAAACTACTATTTACATCGAATAATTTAAAAAAATCGAAAAAACTTTAAAATCAGCAAATATTAGTACATTTGGATGAAAAATCCGAGAAAAAATTGAAAATTTTTTTATTCATCGATTATTTTAAATTTCTTAGTAAAATATTTTAGCGTTCAAAAATTATGACATTATAGAGTTTGAACCCCCTCAATTTGAGGGGGTTTCAACCTTATTTGACATAGGTATAAACATATAAATGTTTAGAGTTTGCTCCATGTCTGGAAAAGACTAAAAAAAGATGGATCCGCCCCTGAACTTAAGGAGAACAATGCTATCTCTGGAAGATACTTACAAAAAGAATTTGTGTTAAGATAGACTAGGTAAAAACCTGAGAGCTCTAGGTAAGTTTTAGCATTTAACTATTGCTCCTGTGAATTTTCCTATAAAATTATATGAGGATTATTTAAACGAGGGTTGCTCAAAGCGTTGAATATTTTAATACAATAAAAGCAATTTGTAGATGTAGCAAATTTGAATCTATGTATTAAGAGAATGGACTACCAGTAATAACAACATTTTGTCTAAACTAGAACCCAAAATTTCTCAAATAAAAATTTTTTATTTTGATGCAAGAACTAGTGTGGTTTGTTGTTATACAAATCTATTTGCTTTTGAGTGTCATAATTGTTTTCTAAAAAGTAGTACAACTCAAAAAGACCTTTTTTTTAATGTACTGTTATTTGTTAAACCATTGCATTGTCGAGTAAAGAGACGGGATAGTGTTTGCATAAAATGGCAATTAAGGAACTAGAACATATTTATATTCAGTAAGAAATCAGGGGCAAAAGCTGCTGTTTTAAAACACTTTGAATTACACAGTAAAGCTGATAAGTTGTTGCCAAGGTTGCGAAAATGTGTTCTAAGCATGTTCCAAGCACGGCAAAAATTTGTTTGAAAAAAAAAAGGCTTTTGCCTTGTTTCTGGGCTTCAAATTGAAATAATTTTTTTTTAAAAATAAACAATTAAATATATTAAAAAAAAAACAATAATTTTTAAATAGGAGAATTTCAATCTTTTATATAAGTTCATGCAACATTTTTTCTTAACTATTTTTATATAAGTTCATGCAACATTTTTTCTTAAATATTTATTTTGTTCTTTTATATAAGTTCATGCAACATTTTTTCTTAAATATTTATTTTGTTCTTTTATATAAATTCATGCAACATTTTTTCTTAAATATTTATTTTGTTCTTTTATATAAGTTCATGCAACATTTTTTCTTAACTATTTTTATATAAGTTCATGCAACATTTTTTCTTAAATATTTTTATATAAGTTCATGCAACATTTTTTCTTAAATATTTATTTTGTTCTTTTATATAAGTTCATGCAACATTTTTTCTTAAATATTTATTTTGTTCTTTTATATAAATTCATGCAACATTTTTTCTTAAATATTTATTTTGTTCTTTTATATAAGTTCATGCAACATTTTTTCTTAACTATTTTTATATAAGTTCATGCAACATTTTTTCTTAAATATTTTTATATAAGTTCATGCAACATTTTTTCTTAAATATTTATTTTGTTCTTTTATATAAGTTCATGCAACATTTTTTCTTAACTATTTTTATATAAGTTCATGCAACATTTTTTCTTAAATATTTATTTTGTTCTTTTATATAAGTTCATGCAACATTTTTTCTTAAATATTTATTTTGTTCTTTTATATAAGTTCATGCAACATTTTTTCTTAAATATTTATTTTGTTCTATTAAATTAAACATTGATTTTACCTATTAGTTGCCCATTCTATTCATATCTTTAGAAACGGAATCTACCTCTGGAGTTACATAGAAGTGAAGTAAATAAAAAAATTTTCCGGTCAAAGACTGGAATTATTATCAGCTAAAGAAACAAAGATTCCGAAGAACTTACATTAGGTGGACCAACCGATTATAAAACAACTTTTCTTTTTACGAAAATAATAACTCAAATAATTTAAATAAGTCATGTGTATGTAGTGTTGGGATAACCGGTATATATAACCGGTATTTGGAACAATTTGGAGTTGTTGAAATGCCAGTATTAAAAAAGTCGAATACCCTTATTTCGATATTCGAAATAATTTTACCCTGTAAAATAATTTCACTAATATATAGTTTTACCAATGTTTTTTACGGATTTACTACAAAAAAGTTTTTGCATTTCCTATGCAAAAAAATAGCAATTTAGTGTTCTATGAAAAGTTTAATTAATCGAAACAAAATTCATTGAACAATATAATGATATAGGCTACTTTTACGTGCTGTAATAGTTAAACTTAAAAATTATATAAAATTCTAAACGGTTTTTCTAAACTTTATGTTTTTCTCTTTTTCTAATGATTATTATATAACAAAATTTTACTGAACTTTTTATCCTTTAAATAAGTAATTTTAGTTTTTTTTTTTAATTGCCAAACCATTTTATAATTATATTATTTACTCATTCGTATTATTTTAGAAAATATAATATTACCGGTATTAATGCCGGAATTGGATTTTTTGTATATACCGGTATTTTTGCTGTAATAAAAATCAAGTCTTGACTGATATTTTAAATAGTGAGTTTTTTATTTATTTATATCTAAAAATTAAAACAAACAGTATTAACTCATAAATATACAATTTAGTTAAGTGGCAAATATCATATCGTAAGGTTTTAAAGCAAAGTACAGTAGTGAAGCAATTGTATTAAAACAATAACTCACAAAAAAAAAAGATTGCTAAGACGGACGTCAAGGTGGCAGTGTAGCTATCTTCATTACTTATCTCTCAAGATGTTAATTAGTTCTATAAAACTTTTCCTCGAACTCCTTCAAATTATTTCACAGCTTAATTAGGAAGCCCTATGATGGCTGCTTTATTGTCGGTAATTTTAACATGTCATATTTCCTACGTCCAGACACCATACGGTTGCTCAAACCATATATTGGTTTTGTAATTTACCTTCAGCATTAATTCTATTTAAAAAATTGTTTCCTAATGCTATATTAGGTAATAATACTAAAGGTCGCTTTAGTATCACTTAAAGAATTTATGTTTCAAAACCGTTTCCCGAAAGTGAATCTCAGTTGTTTAGCTACAGCAATCACGATTTAATATCAAACTTTACTGCACCAATCAACTGGAATATTTCATTTCTTCATAGAACCGCAGATCAAATGTTTAATTTATTAATTTTTAACAATTGTACTGATTGCAAATATTTTATCCCGAACGTTAATAGAACAAAGAAAAAGTATGATCCTTGAGTTACTCCACATAATTAAAAACCTAATCCGAGCAAAAAAATTCGCTTTGCATATCAACTGCTCCACAAAATGGAAGAATAATTAACTTAAAATAAACTGCTATCTTCTTAATCGTTCCGCAAAAGCTAAAATATTTAAAGCAAAAAGAGCACATAAAAAAAAAAATATATTAATATCCTTCCGAATAACTTCCATCGTTAAAAAAGTGATGCTAACCTGAGAGATCTTATACCCAGCTAGCACACATACGTTGATCAACCGCCGACTTTGTTTTTATATCATTTTGGTTACAAATGCGACGTCACCAACAACCAAAACACGTTGTATTTTATAATTGCGTAATTTATGAGTCATTATTTCATTTAACGCCGAGTGAAGCACACATTTTTGAACAGTCGTCTCAAAGTCCTTACAAATTCTTGGTATGCAAAAAGACATTCACCTTTATTGATGAAAAAATGGCTCTCAAGTGATATAGTGTTTATTAGACCACACCATGATTATAAAATATCTTTTTGGGCTTCTTAATAAAACCTTGGTTTAATCTATTCAACGCAAAACAAAAAAACAGACATTCAGCTTAAGACATCTTTAAGACGTACGCAGTTAAAAAAAAAGAAAAATATACAACACCAAAAAATCCATATAACGTCACTGTATATAGCGCCAATCGCAAATATATTGTATATCACTGTATAACGCGCTGTTTTGAGAAGGGTAGATTTTTTTATAAAAAAGATTAATAGATGAAATTTAAAATCTCTCTAAATTATTATTTTACTATTATGTTAAATCTAAATTTAACATGATACTAAAATAATTAATATCATTAGTTTATCGCCATCACATTTAGGGTAAGAGGACAACATTTGAGGGTATTTTTGTTTCCAGGCTCCAACTTGCACAATTTTTTTGCACAACATATCGGTTTGAACTCTACACAAATAGTTGAAATTATTTTTTAGCATAAAATATGAGACTTGAAAAGACGGTGACATTTTTATTTAGAAAAAGAATGATGCTGGCATAATTATATCATATAAAATGTTACCCAGCCCCATGATAATTTAGCTCACGTTTATTTTAGAAGTCAGTTTATACACATCTCTTTTTAATTTCAATTTCATTTCAATACTTTCAACTCAAAATTTGTTAAAATATTTTTTTATTCTTAATTTTGGTAATAATTTTTTTTTAATATAATGGACGTTCATTGTTCTTGCAAATCATTATTTTTCATTATTTTATTTCTAACAACTTCTTAGATTCTTAGATGAAGAAATTAAAGACTAGATCCCGTATTATTTATAAATACAAATTATCTTTATTGCATTCTTAATTTAAATAGGGCTTTACTTAGTAAAAGTAAAAAAAAATACTATTCCTAATAAAAAGTTTTTATTTGATTGTTCATCACTCTTCTATAATCGCTTGAGTAATAACTTGAGTAATAGCTTGAATAATATACTAAAAGTCATTTTTAGCAAGCACAACTGAAATATTTTTGATATTATCAATTAGTAAATACTATATCTATAATAATAATAATATAATATTATTATAATATCAAAGATACTATTATATCAACAAATGAAAACATACTCACTAAGTCTTCTGCTTTATGTATTCAAAAGATTTCTTTATCTACAAACCTCTAATACAAATCATTTATGAAATCTATTCTAAAATTCGTTTTTGCTGAGATCATTTCATCGCACATAACTATCCTTTATTTTTATACTAATGATTTAACTGATCTAGTATAATCTAATCTGACTAACAATAATCTAAAACCTTTTACCTGCAAATTAATACTTTTGTCATAGTTTTCAAATGATGTCTTTTTAGAATTTTTAATCTAAAATATAACTATAACTTTGTCTAGTTTATAAATGTCTTCGCTTTTGGCAAAGTGTAAAAGTGCATTGCAAAACATATTTAGACATTCTCTCTCTCTCTCTCTCTCTCTCTCTCTCTCTCTCTCTCTCTCTCTCTCTCTCTCTCTCTCTCTCTCTCTCTCTCTCTCTCTCTCTATATATATATATATATATATATATATATATATATATATATATATATATATATATATATATATATATATATATATATATATATAAATATATATATATATATATATATATATATATAATATATATTATATATTAGTGATGTAAATTTTCCAGTAAAATTTGACTCAAAATTTACCGGTAAATTTTAATTAGAGAACGGTAAATTTTCCTATAGAAAATTAAAAAAAATTAATAAATAAAAAAAAAGTGAAAAAAAATTTTAAAATTTACCAGGCGGTAAATTTTCAAAATTTTCCGGTAAATTTACCGGAAAATTTTACCTTCGCAACACTATTATATATTATATATATATATATATATATATATATATATATATATATATATATATATATATATATATATATATATATATATATATATATATATATATATATGTATATATATATATATATATATATATATATATATATATATATATATATATATATTATATATTATATATATATTATACATTATATATATATATATATATATTATACATTATATATATATATATATATATATATATATATATATATATATATATATGTATATATATATATATATATATATATATATATATATATATATATATATATATATATATTATATATTATATATATATTATACATTATATATATATATATATATATTATACATTATATATATATATATATATATATATATATATATATATATATATATATATATTATATATTATATATATATATTATACATTATATATATATATATATATATATATATATATTATACATTTTATATATATATATATATATATATATATATATATATATATATATATATATATATATATATATATATATATATATGTATATATATATATATATATATATATATATATATATATATATATATATATATATATATTATATATATATTATACATTATATATATATATATATATATATTATACATTATATATATATATATATATATATATATATATATATATATATATATATATATATATATATATATATTATATATTATATATATATATTATACATTATATATATATATATATATATATATATATTATACATTTTATATATATTATACATTTTATTATATATATATATATATATATATATATATATATATATATATATATATATATATATATATATATATATATATATATATATATATATATATATATATATATATATATATATATATATATATATATATATATATTTAGTCACGTGCAGTAACATAGTAGTGCGTATTTTATTTTTCTATCAACAAACTTTGAACATCAAAATATATTTTTTTATTGTTTGTTTTTTTATCGTTATTGTTCATCAACTAAATGCTGTGATTATAATAGTATAAAAAAAACTTTAAAAAGATAATTGCAGCACTGTATGGTTTAAAATTTCAACATTATCGATTAAAGGTCATTCGTATTTTTTTTTAGACTGTGCAATAAAATAAGTAGTGAAAAATTAATTTTTGTGTAATAATTGCTGTACTTATTAAATTCTAATTATTATTAGTTCTTAATAATAAGCAATAAGGAAGTAATTAATTTTGATATTAGATAAATTTATACTCTATCTAAAATTTTGAAATTTTAGAGAAACATGGGGCGCTCTAAGCATTGTACTGAAGAAGTTCATAACTTTATTATAAATCTTAAAAATCATGGTAAACCCTACAAACAAATACAAGAACTAGTTGGATGCTCACCAAAAATGATTTGTAATGCTTTAAAATGGAAACCCAAACCAGAAAAACGTGGAAATAAAGGATCAACTACCGCTA